TATATTAAATTTGTTGAAACGAATTCAAACCGGATATACACTGGACAAAATTGCTAATGCACCACCAAATGAAAGTAATATTTTACTTATCCAAACTTGTTTAAGATGTATTTGATATATTATTATGTTACAAAATCAAAAAATAAAGCATTTAAATGTCTTAATTGATTAATAACTACAGTTACTCTTAACTGAAGTGTGACCATTTCATAAAAACCGTGAAAATCGTGTCCATATTAATTTGGAGGGATAAATTTGTAATTTTTTCTTTGCATTTTTGTTCTTTATGTTTGCACTAAGTAGAAAATCAGAAAAAAAAATTGTACCGCATGCGGTATTTGATCTCAGGTGAGGGTGATAAAACGGACAGTATGGTGTCTGCAGGGGGTTCCTTTGGAAAGATATGTAAAAAATTAAAACAATGAAAACAATATTTATTCTTCTAGTGAAAAATTGTTGCAAATAGATTAGTCGACAAAAAAAATGTTCACTCTAGATAGCCAAGCCATTAAGTAAACACCGCACACAATTTCAATGTCGTTGGGGCAACCGGAAGTTGAGTGGACTGGGTATGGACACCAATGCATTGGATGACTAGTAGGCGATATAATAGTCAGTGCATGTTATTTGATTTTATTTAACTGGGGCCGGAATTAAAAATATCTTTGTTTCCCCTAACCCGACCCTAAATTTTCAAGTTGGGTCGGTAGGTAGGTAAACAATTTTATTTTCTGACTGCAGCTTTGAAAATACATTATAAAAATTAATGGAAAATTACCTTTTTAAATAAGAAAAGTACAAAAGAAAGCGATGTGTGAACAAAATGATAAATATCGTACATATGCCGTTTCAAAGCAAAATTCATGATTAATTAATTCACAACTGTTATTTAGTTGAACTTGTTAAATATCTCACGCCATTACATTTACATCAATTGAATAAAATAGACAAGATTCTCAAATACTCAAAGACCAAATATACGAGTATATTTTTCAAACCTTCCATCATCCTTCAGAGCTTATAGACGATCAATGTACCTTTTTGAGGGCCATGAAATTTTCAGTGGTTCTGGAGCATTTTGCTTTGGAGTTAAGAAGTACGTGGCTTAATTTAAATTTAAAATTAAATAAATAAGGTTCAAATCCCAATGAGTAACGTTGAAAACAGTCCTTCAAACGGGACCATAAAACATGTCTAGTGTCGCAGAAGATGCTTGCTCAAAAAAGATTCCCCACTGCTTAATGGCAAAAAAAGTGCTGAGTACGTCTAAATTTGGAGCAATGGGGAAATGTTTAAATGTTGTCCTAACAAATCTCGAAGGGATTAAAAGCAAAGAAACAACCAATCTTCAAGGGCCTAATTAAAGAAAAAATACACTGGACGTCTCAGGAAGCTGAACCTTGATTTCAAGACTATTTGGAAAGAGTATGTTAACAATATTTAAATGAACCAAACCTAATCTACAAATGATAAAAATGCTATATACAATGTCAAAGTCCCGAAGTTTAACCACTTAATAAAGGCAGGAAGAAAGGACATCTGAATTATATTTACCAGGATGAATATGCAGACATATTTACAACAACTCTTATGGTTCCATAATGGCATATAGTAAACATAGGAACATAGATGAATTGGTTATCAGATCAAGAACTCAAATTAAATAAAATGCAGTGAAATAGAATGATGTGTTCACTAGGTGGGCCCCTCATCTACTCATGAGGCGGGCCTTACCATGTATTACGCGTAGGTACCTCAAATCCAAAGACAGGTTTGATTGTTTGTTGTTTAATGTCCCTTTCGAAAATTTATTCACTCACATGGAGATGCCAAGACACCTTCGAAACACTCTTAATTAGTCATGGTAAATTTTATTAACGAATTGTTTCAAGAGTGAAGAATTCCAATTAGCTAAAAGCATAAGATTGAGACGTCGCCATTGTTGTATGGAGAGCTAATGCCCTGTAATCACATGTGGACGCCATTTTGTTTCCAACAAATGCTTGAAAATCACAGTATAACAATGTCGGCCGTTCTGATAAAAACTGATTTTGATGAAATTGTATTTTATAAAACATGGTTAACAGTAAAAAAAAAATATTTGAATCATCTTATTTAAAAAATCTTTTCAGTCGGTGCGATTTAATTGGATCGTTCGCGTTAGGGGAAACAAAGGTATTTTTTATTTTGGCCTGGGAGACTGTTTCTGGTGTAACTTCAAGGACCATCATCGGTAATACGCAATGCACATATCTGAGCAAAAATGAGGTTCGCAATGCATGTCGTGAAATTGGTTTTGGGCAAGAAGGTCATTTGCGGGTTTTGTTCTGACAGCAAGATATTTGCCAATCCCATTGTATTGGAAAATATGGCGTTTTATACATACTAATACCGTTTAGGCAAATGTTCAATCTACAAAGAAGAATTTTAAGTGGTGCGTTAGCAATTTTGTGTAGTGTACATGTAAATTAATGAGTATTTGCAATTAACAATACGTACTTTCACTCATATGTCGACTCAGTATATCCTTGTGGGCTTGAAACACTTTAACACTCATATATAAATAGCTAAATATGGTACATTTTGAAAAAAAGGGGTTACAAGAGCACAAATAGTTTATAGTCCATTAATATTGTTTTTCCAACAGTCTCAGGGTATAAAAATCAATGAGTAAAGTATGATTTAAATCTAAATGAAGAAACGTAGTAACAAAGAATATTAACTAAAACAGAAACTGTAAAAAGACATCGGGCGGATATGTCGGAAATGTTAACAAGAGAGGTTAAATCTACCTTAAATTTTACTTATGATGAAGAGATGTAACTCTGAACCAAAACTTACAGATGATCCAGGATGATCCTGGGGTTGGGGAGACATCTGGTGGTCAGGCTGCTGATGACGAGACGGGGGCAGTGGGTGGGGAGATTCAGAATGACCAGGGCGGTCAGAGGAAGTACATTACTATAGAAACTGACGTCACAGTGGAGGTAAATAACGTATCGTATAAAATGTACTAGTTAAAAAAATGAACAGGGTTCCATTCTCTTCAGGTGTTATCATCGAAAGCAATTTTTTTTCAATGGTTTATGGTGACAAATTATTGTTTATTCCAGCTCAACTATCATTTTCTCTGAACGTCAAAATGGCAAATTATGTAATTTGAAAGATCGAAAACATGAAAATCTGAAATCATAGAAATTACCAAAAATAAGGTGTTAGAAGTGATCTGGAATTTTGTTGAATATAAAAGATAAACAAAATGATCTTCTGAATTCCAGTTTGCATACAATAAAGCGCATTGAAGTGGTAAAATTTTCCGTGTGGATGAAACGTTCTGAGTCATGTTTTGAAGTCAATATAACATAACGACACGCCCATATTTTTAGAAACGAGAAAGAAACATTTGTCGTAATGTTTAGGACACCCCACTCTTTGCGACAAGCAACATGAGTTACACTGAAATGGAGCTTTTAAAAAATTAGGAGAGAGAGACAGAGACTTCCCGATTCCGTAAAACACAAATTGCAACAAATATATACATATTTTTGATGTCTATTGAAGTTATTGAAGGTATCACAACACATGTTTCGGTCGAACACGTGTTTACTCGGTGTTTATTTAGACCGTCAATTTGATTGGCTATTATAGTTATAGAAAACCTGTTCTACAGGTATTAGAATAAACAAATTAACCGTTTTATCCATTTCTAAAGAAATGGGCGTGTCATCATATGACAATCAACGTTCTAAAGATAGCTCAAAACGTTCTATTCGAACGGAAAATTTTACCACTTCAATGCGCTTCATTGTAGATTCGTTTTTGTTTTCCACTACGATTTCAAATAACACCAGGTTCTCGTAACAGGACTGTCTGGGTGATACCTATAGAGAGGGTGTCTGGTATTACAGTCACTGCCGCAGTTTGCTCATCTCTGTGTTTGCTGCCAGTTTCGAGGTCAGAAAATTAAGTGTTTTCCTGATTGACAACATTCTATCTAAAGAAGGGACCCACACGCCAAGACATGGGGAGATAACTGCACCAGCTAGAACATTCATTCAGACCTTTATTATCCCCCCTGACAGACCTGATCACTGCAATTTTTCTTCTGTTTCAAGCTACACTAATGGAGACTATCTTTGTGTGTGTATTCCCTCACATTTTGATAAACACGAACATTGATCTATAATGGTTGAGAAGATGTTAAACGATAAATTGATGAATTGTATTTCTTTTTTGTGTTATATTGAAATCTAAATACAGAGGAATGCTGCAGGAAAATGGTGTACAGAATGTAGTTAGCAGGTCAAAGAGGAAAAAAGAAATTAGATCTGTAAACATATTTGGACTGAGGCCGATTGTAAATGACGCAATTTTTTTTTTTTCAAATACATGTTCATATAATAGAGTGTTTTGTTTGTTTGATGTTTACCTTACCTCTCGAGAATTTTCACTCAGACGCCACCACTTGTCGGTGGAATGCTATATACATTACTCTAGACTATAGAGCAGACACTCCTACCACTGCACAACGCGAACAATCATTGTAATTTTGAATAAAATTTAAAAGTCTTCTTTCTGTGACCATCTTAAAATAATCTATACAATTTTCTTATTACAAAGATACATTAATAAATAAATCTGATCAATGCACAAGGTTCACAGTGGGTATGACCAGGGAAAAGTGATATGTTTTCATCCTAGGCACCTTATCCCCCTTCTGGAATTTCTAGAATATGAAAAGTTTATATTAAAAGATCTAACAACTTTAAGGTAGGATTAAATTTATTCTTATTTTTTTCAAAAATACATATTGAAACATCAAACAGGAAAGCCATACATAAGTATTCATAATTCCTTGGTGCCTGTTGTTACTCTCAATATTTCTTATTTTAGTTTTAAAGAAGGAAATAAATATTACTTATTTTGACATTATTAGCTATAATATTCTTAGCAGATAAATTAATATGTCTGATGTCACATGCTAAATATCTGTAATAAACTTATCGTATTTTGTTATAGTTTTCTTTATATTTTGATGCTGATATTTCTCCCCTATAGCTATCTAATTCGTCCTCAAATAATTCCAATCTTTTTACAAGTATTTTAGTTCTAGACGATTCTGTAATTCTTTGGTATCTTTCATCTTTTATCAATTTCTTATAACTACATCTAGATGCAAGGTCTATCGCTGCCTCCAAGAGTTTTCTCAGATGAAATCTTTCAGCAGCAATGATGTATCCAATAAGATTGTGTAGGGATATAGAAGAAGGCTGTGATGAACTCGACCCCGATTGATGCTTACAACAACTAACAAGGCTATCCTCGCATTTTCTTCTCTCACTTTGATTGAGAGAGTCCCACATCAAAACTGCAGTGTTTAAAAAATCTTGCTGTGAGCCTAAAAAAAATGTCATGCATAAAGATCCTTATGGCACATATTGAGTTTTCTTCAGGAAAAAATCATGTTAAAGAATCATGATCAATACACTAATTAAATAATAATGCAAGTTATAATACCTGCAACAAAGTTTGGTTTTAATTCCTTTTCAAGAAAAGAACTTCGACATTCCGCAATACTTTTTCGTAAATCAACAGTAACCATAGTCTCGATTCCTGCTTGCTTTAAAGACTCCGTATGACACTTTGCACATAACTGAATGGCAAAAGGAAGTACAGATTCCATGTTAAATTGTTCAGCGCAAGCAGTGTATTTCACGAGAATAGAGATCTCGATTTCTTTATCCACATCTCTGACGGTGCTTTTACAAACTTCTTCGAGAAATTTTTTGCAGTTTTTCTTTACAAATGAAATCTGATACTCTTCAGCCAGTGGAGCAATCCTTAATACTGTATTTTCTGGAAAAATAACATTGTTCTACAAATTTTATTTTGATAATAAATGATCCAATTGATAAACTTGGAGTGGTTTGTGAAATACTAATGTCCCAACATGACAGCTTTTTGTGAAGGTTAAGGTTTCTCAAATACATGTAAAACTCATAAGTCAAAAAAAAATGTAAAACATGAAAGGCAAAGCAATAACCGTTCAAATAATCTCATCCGCAACAGCTCATAGCACTGCATAAAATTGATGAAACTTTCACAGGTTCTTCATTACATATTGTCATTGTGCACCTTCTATATTACTTTTTGATTATTTAAGTTAAAAGGCAAAGGATAATTTTTTTTAAAAATGGGTCAAACTCCTAGGCCAAGGTCTAATTAAAATATATTATACGACCCAAGCACCAACTGTACAAATTTATTCCCAAGGTTTAAGGTTTTTCAAAAGTAAGTCAAACTCCAAGGTCAAAAGGTTTAAATTTTTGATATACAAAGGAAGGCTTTCTAAACAGAAATACACCAATGAAATATGGAAGCCTTTTGTCCACTGTTCGTAAGTTATGGTCAAAGGATTTTTAAGAAGTCGTCAAACTCTAAGGTTAAGGTCAAAATCTAATAATTTTTTACCAAATGAAAGGTCTTGTCACAATGAATACACATATGAAGTGTAAGTGTCTTAACACCAATTGTTCAAACATTACGTTCAAGGTTAAAGTTTGATAAAGAAAAAGGTACGGTTTGAGCTTTATTGTGCCCTAAAAATTTAATGTTCTTAAAAGGTTATGAAATTGGCTTTAGCAATAGTTGAGTAGATGAATATGATAAATCATTAAAGAATTTTGCATGAAGGAGGACCTTTCTGGAAATATAACGTCAATAATTTGGTACACTTTTAAGTTTGATGCAGAAAAGCTTCAAAATGACAAATTTCTCTGCTAATTTTCCTTTAGAAAATAGTATCTGCCACCGTCGCCCACCTTAATTTTGGGATATATTGTGTAAACTGCTATGAAAAATCACATATCTCAAAATCTTTCCGGGCCACGGAGGCAGAGTATGTTTTCTGAAAGAAAATCCCACTGAAAATTGATGTCTTCTGCAACTTTTTAGGAAAATACGGGAAAATGCACAAGTTAATGACGTCAAAATTAGCATTTAGGAGGTCATATGAGAAAAACTATTTGTGTATTCTTATTGCAGAGAATTCCTATGATTTAGAAAGAATGAATTTTTATTTCCTATTGGACTTTTACGAGAAGCGCTGAAATTTACAGTTGACGGCTTACTTTTACACTAGGACAATGTACGGTAGCTCATTTACGATATCCAAATTTAGCTCAACATTTAATTAAACGAAATTAACAGGTTATTTCAACGACATATAAGTTGTCCTTGAAGAAAACGACAACCACCATACCCTCAACTTCTGGCCTTCACATGTAAGTGCCCCTAACACCATACTTATGACCACTAGAAATGTTTTCTTATGCATTATCAATTCTGTACTTCCGTACACGATACAAGTTTAAATGTCCAAGTAACCGTCAACTGTAGAAGTCAGTGCTTCTCGTAAAAGTCCAGTAATTTGTCACTTTCATATTTTAGAAAAATATAGGGCTTAATTTGTATTGAAACTGCACCTTCTTCTTTATGTAAAAGTGGGTTCATATCCAATGTCAAAAAGTCAAATTTATACTGAAAAAAAGGTGTTGTCACAAGAAATACACATGTAAAATATGAAAGCCACAGTCCCAAATTCCAACCAATCAAAGGTAATGAGGAAGGTTAACTTTTTTTCGAAAAAAACAGCTAGAAAGACGGATTAGGCAAAAACTATATACATGAATAATAATTACAACGACTGAGCCAAATGCAGTATTTGTAGTTGATAAATTGATTTAATGTAAGGAAAACGATAAAATTTAATGATAATTATGTAAGAAAGTTAATCTGCAGTAGGTTTATGTCAGATTTAACACATTACATCTATACTAGTACTCTTCTCCAAAACGTCAATATACTTGTGTGTACTTTTTTTTTTTTACATTTCTATCTTAATCTTTACTAGCACTAATTTTTAAACTTGAATAACTTTCAAGGAGACTTTTCTGGCATAATATTTTTTTTTCAATTTACGCTGAAAATACCTGTTATAGGATCCAAACGTTCTGGATAATGAAAAGTGTATAGGAAGTCCACAAAGTCGTCATATTTCTTTCCTGGCAATGATATTTTTTCTTTGTCTTTTTCCTTGAAGTTGGATTCAAACATGGCCTTAAACACAGGTGAGTGGTCCGCCAACATTTGTTTGTTGACGTGTATATCCCGACCCTCTACCTCCAGTATGACGTCGGTATGAAGGAAATGTACTTGCGGCTCATCTTCGTCAAATTCAGTATCATCTTCATTTACAATAGTGGTCGCTGTCATTTCCATCGTTCAGGATTGCCTTAAGGTAGAGGTTAGATTATATACCTATCTCTCTGCACTCCAGCCTGAATTATAATCTTTAGATAACAAGGATATGGAGATAACGAACAGTACTTAATATCAAAGTCCACAAAACCATACAAAACAGGAGCAGAGCAAACACGGACCTCCGAAACATCAGAGGTGGGATCAGGTGCCATGGAAGAGTGAGCATCCCCTGCTGACCGGTCATAACCGCCGTGTGCTACTTGTCATGATCGGCAAAATAACGGAAAAATCCGTCGTCAATTCAGTATATAAATAATGGACTAACAATAAATATGAAAAACGTAAGTCAGCATTTGTCTCAATGATAAGTTATACTTGTTGACAATGTCATTGTATCGACCATAGAATTTACGAAATGATGACTTTAAACGAGACTGTTGATATTCTTCTTTCATCAACTTGCTTGTCAATAATTTACCTCATTTTAGAAATTGGTCATACGTAGAGCATGTTCTTGCGTATCTAATCAACTGAGATATATAGACTCCTTATGCAGGTGATGAAGGTATATTGCTGCATAAGTAAGGGAAGTTGACGATAGAAAAGTTAAATTCATAACGTTTATCATATAGTTTGGTTGTTAGATTACCATTAATTTCTTTTTCTAGTAAAATAGCCATATATGAAACAGATGTGTCAGACTCTATGGTTTCTTTTATTTCAAGCTCACCAGGATATATCGTATCGACATAGGAATGGAAATGACCATTGTTAATTGACAATACGTCGTCGATATACATGTATCTAGATAAAATGCCACTTAGGATAACTAGTATCCTGAAGTTTTTACCTGATGGATTTTCTGTATAATATCAACAAATTACTTGAACTCTTTATTTAAAAACTTCTCTGTAAATAAAGCTATTTTTGTTCAATTATTGTTCAAGTTTGAAGTTCAACTATTGAATAAAAATTGATTCCTTGAGGAAGAAATTATAATTATCTTTTTAAAAAAAAAACTACCATATTAAAACTTGCATAATATTACTATTTAAAAAAGTTAATGTTGAAGATAAAGAAAATGATGCATAAAAATTCCATTCTAATATATGAAAAAAATATCTTTTGGTTTTCTCTTCCATTTTGTCTTCTGTTTGAAAAATAAGACCAGCGAACGTTGTCTTTTTACTGTTGATATAGACTGAATAGAACCAATTTAGCATATATCCGAGGTGCATATAATTATATAAATATGCTTTTTTTCCTTTTCATTTTAATTTCCCTGAAATAAAAACAAAACATTTTCTGTTGAACTCAAAGCTGAAAACTGCACGGTAAGGCATCATCATATATTCGTTCTTGGCCTTTGGTGTAGCGTATATTTAAATGTCTTCTTTCACCGGGATTACCGCAATAGTTTTAGAAGTAAATAAAAACATTTTCCGTTTTAGTAGATGTGCTTTCATTTAAATCGTTTCTTATTGGTATTAATCAGTACCTTCATTTGACTGCACTAGACAGTATACACTTATCTAATAACTATGAGGGCGGTGGGGGGGGGGGGGGGCAGTCAAACTGTTGTCCAGATGAAATAGAGAATAAGGCCAACAGACTGACTGCTTCCCGACTTGCCTGAAATAAATGTTTTATTACCTTACCTCCTAGTCAATCTATTTGATTAATCTTTCCTATTAATGTAAATAGTTATATGAATTTTATAAAATAATCCTTATTTACGAAAACACAGAGAGATATCTCTATGATTAATTAATTCTGGTGAAATTTTCACTATAAAAATCAATGGAAATATTTTAAAAACATTTCACCAGTGAAACATTTTTACAGATAAAATAGATTGTTACGCTGTTTAAATTTTCCCCCACGAAAAGCAGAGGGGGTTACAACTTAAACCTTGTATTTTATCAATAACTTATGTTCATCCTTTTATGCGTAAAACATATGTAAAACATAATAAATGATTTCAGGAACCCATTTCCAAGAATATTTTAAAATATTTCAAAATGTGCTGATGCTTTCAAATCCGATTCCAATGGAAAATATCATCTATTACTGAAGGCGAAGACTTGGATGATCTCTAGTGCGGGAAAGGGTTTTTACAATTTTCCCAAATACTCTTATAAAGGCGTTCTTTGCCTCTTTTTTGAGATGATATTAAAATGAATATATACTAGTATTAATACGTGTATTTAAATTTACTTTTCAGATATTGATTTCAAATAGAATGCTAAAAAATGCTCCATTTTCTAAATAATTCAATAACTGTTACACATAGTTCAGCCATTAAGTACGGCAATACCCGATATTATGTTGTCATAATGGATAGATAAACATTGAGGCAATTTGAGCAAATATTTTCTAAGTATCATCTATGTTTCCTACGATTTCAGGATAATGTAAATAACAAATAAAGTATGGTTGAAATCTAAATGTATCAAAAACAGAAACAAATGGAACAAGCTAATTCAGAGAATTTGTGTCCCCCGCTTAGGGAAAAAAGTAAACCATGCGCAGTTCGGGGGTCGAGGGGAGGGGGTGTTTGGATCCCCTTGACTGAATTTGTAGAATTATTGAATGTATACTGAAGCAAATAAAATATGCCAATATGGATATAAAGGTTTGATTGATTATTCTTTATCATGTGTGTAGAAGATCCTTTTTATATGGAATATTTATCACACTGTAATGATGATTTTATGAGTTTGTACAAGCCAGAACTCAAAAATTTTTCATTTCACATGCTGAATACTATCATTTAGTAAAATAAAAAGGTATTTCGAAAAAAAATATAGATCGTCCGAGATGCGAACACTGGCCCTCTCACGTGTGAAGCGAGAGACATACCACTAGACCACGGAGCCGCTTGAATATGGCGAAAATTATATACAGACATGAAGTCACATACATGTATATATTCACGTTCGATATATTGTCAAAATTTACACAATTCATGGTGTCTAATTTAACCTTTATTAAACAGTTCTAATAGATGTAATAAGAATACTAGTAAACTAATTGTTCAGAGAACAATGAGACGTCTTTCCACCTTTTTAAGTGTTTCAATATCATTTGGGCTGAAAAAAGTAGAAAAAAAGCAAGAAAATAAATAAAACAGCAAAATTCTCATTTCTCTACTAGGATTTTAGATCGGGCTCGCAGTTGGTATACCCTATATATATACCCTAGACAGACTTCCTGGATTATACGAGTCGACTCGGGGATAACCACGATTTCATTGATCACGCAAAGAGAGCACATAAAAAACATTGTAACACGCTCCTAGGTGTATATATGAGCTTGAATGAGATTGTTTCCAAGTTAAGATGTAAGGGGTAGGGTCTGAGTAAAATTATGATATACCTATTAATATGAATAACATGCATTTGATCTGCGCATCAAGACGGAAGCGTAAGTGAAAACGTTGTGAAATGTCCCATGTGTACCTGCATCATATGTGCATTATACATGTATTAAAGAGATGTTTGAAAACATCCGATTTGAGTTGTTTTATGTTTGAAATGGATGGCGATAAATTATTTAAGAGCATGTGAGAAACATGAGCGAGAGATGCAAGGCAGTTTTGTAATTATGGAAAAGGAAAACAGAGAATCGGGTTCGGATTTTAACATTTCTGACCGAAATAGGCATGAAATTCGTTGTAAGTAGCATGAAAAAAATGCCAAACTTGTAATTCTAGATGGGAAACACAGGGAGGAAACGTGTATTTCTTTCTACTATGCTGAAAGTCGCCATTTCTTGGAATTGTGTTATTCTAGAAAAAAAAAAAATCAAATTTCAAATGAAATCAAGGTTCATTCCATTAATATTAAATCTAAATAAAATTGAAATAAATTCCACATACTAAAGAAAGCTAGAATACTTGGTATTAAAATGTCGTAATAGAGCAGGAGAATCGAATGATATTAACAAAAATTGCAGAAATAGCCAATACGGTTTTCAATTAATTTTTATGCTCAGCAATAACGAAATTTCAGACAGAAAAAAAAATGCAGATTTTGCCGAGTTTCACTAGAATTTCATTATATTTTAAAGACTCACCTTAAAACTCTCAGCACACTTTCTTTAAGGTCTCTTCTTGCTTTTACTCCGAATCTTATATCGATATATCGTATCATTTGACTTGTAGACATTTTCTCTATGCTGCTGTTGATTTTTTTTTTTTTTAAAGGAGGGGGGGGGGATATAAGCATTTGTTAGAGAAAGAGTTGCAAATACCTCAACGACCTTAAGCTTGATATTGACCTTTGGGTCAATAGGGGGTCAAAGGTCAAAGTTATTTATCAAGGTCAAAGGTCAAGGTCATCAAAAGAAAGAGAGAGAGAGAGAGAGAGAGAGAGAGAGGGAGATAAACTTGAGATTAACTCTTGAAGCTGAATCTAGATAAAGGTAATGAATAAATCTTTATTACTTTTTGAGTAAGGGGTGAAAGGTCAAGGTCAAATATCAAGGTCAAAGGTCAAGGTCATTTTAAAAAAAGGCATACATACAATTTTAACATTTTTCCAATGACCTTGACCTTTGACCTTGACCTAATCTTCAAGGTCAAAGGTCAAAAGATCTTATGCAGTTGGGCCCATGTCTTTACAACTTGTCGTTAAGAAGTTTTTAGTTCTTCGTAAACATCATAATCTGGCAGGGGCAATAACTACTTAAAATGGTTTACGAATTCTTTCGCACTAATGGAATGAGAAGTGTACTAAATTAGTCGCAGACATTGTTGAAGGTTTTGTACCTTTCCGGTTTACGGTTTCGGAGGAGTAGCGATAACAAGGGTTTACACTGAAAGGGGCACTAACTTTTAGAGGGTTCGATTTTAGGGGACAAGCATGGAATCTCTGAAATGGTTTTAAGAGTACATACTAAAGATGCAAAGAAGTTTAGAATTTGGTTAAGAACAAAAGAGCTATAAAAATGCCTAATTTTACATATTTTGAATGACCTTGACCTTTGACCTTGACCTAGATTTTAAGGTCAAAGGT